CATTGAACAGATGTTATAGAATTAGGACGTCAAAAATTCGATAACGCTAATATATCTTTTTAACTAACCGCATTCAGAAGGATGTGCGAGTTTTTTGCTTACTATTTGGACTGTTTACGCAGCGATAACGTTAACAACGAGTAAAATACACTTTTACCTTGCCTTCATACGTATCTTTATCAGTAGAGCTAGAAAGATTATTGTCTACTAAATAGTCATAAATGCAATCTACGTGGTTTCAAAGTGTTATGAATGTAAGGGCAAACAATGCGGGAAATCGAGCATTTGCCCAAAGAGAGTGCAACAATTACAAGAGCGGCTACGTTTACCAACCAATTTCATCTAAGCAGCAACACAGGGCTTCACAGTTAAAAATTTCTAGTGCTTCAATGCCCTACCTTAATAAGTATTTACAATTGTTTATTTATTTACGGTTGAATCCATCATTCACTAGGTGTTTACCCAAATGGTATTGAGCCTATGAGCTTTGTATATTCACCTCTATACTAACGACGTGTGGTGTGCGATAGAATTACCGCCACGTGGTGCACCCTGGGCAACGTATACTCATGCGGCAAAAAGTCTATCACGTGGTGCACCCTGGGCAACGTATACTCATACGGCAAACAAACTGGTGCACCCTGGGCAACGTATACACGGCAAAAGAGTCCGTGGTGCACCCTGGGCAACGTATACTCATGCGGCAAAAAGTCTATTAATCGGCAGTTGATTTCTGCTTTCAAACTACCATCACCACACTGTATGCATATTCGACTACTTCCACAGTACTCACCTCACCCTTTTTCTACCTTCGTGTCTCCATATTCGACTACTTCCACAGTACTCACCTCACCTTTTTATATTCGACTACTTCCACAGTACTCACCTCACCCTTTTTCTACCTTCGTGTCTGCCTCTTTTACATTGTTGAAACACTTCTGTTCCACCTCCCCCCTCCGCTCAATCTCGACTTGTTTCAATTTGATGTTCCTTCCTCTCTGTGAAGCCTGAAGTCAACTAAAGGGTTAATGATAACCATTCTGTGAAGCCTGAAGTCAGCTAAACGGCTTATGATAACTATTGTGAAGCCTGAAGTCAACTAAAGGGCTAATGATAACTATTTAATGATAACTATCCAAACGAAGCCTGAAGTCAACTAAAGGGTTAATGATAACTATCAAATGGCTGCCATTTGATATAAATAAATGCATGTTGATCGAGATTGTTTGGTCTATAATTATGATATTTAGTGGATGAATGAGAATATCTCATGCTAAATTTGAATTTTCATTATAACTGGGTTTGGGGTCAATGACCTCAAATTGGAGGGCATAAGTGATAAAAGAGCGCTTATTCGTAGGCCTACTACCGATAATAAGTAACAAAAATTATTTGAACGTTTTAAGCAACCGAAACACCTTTTATGAGCACGGGGGTTAGAAATGGGTATGAAAAAACCTCAAATCGAGAGAAGTACCTGAGCTCTCTCCCCATCATACTTATACTCGCAGGTGAAATCGGCCTGATCGAATCGCTTCAGAACCTCCACGACGCCGTGAGTGGGATGAGCCAACATAGGTCTGAGAGGAATGCCAGGTTTAATGCAGCATCGTTTGTGGACGTTATCCGGTCCATCCTCAAGCAAACTCTGCACAATCACCTCATAGTTTGGACACTGCGCGTAGGCCTGTTTGACTCGACCGACAATCTCGTCGCAATGCGTCTTCCAGGAATCACTTTTCATTCGACTACTTGCGTCTAAAGCGTCAGGTGGAACAGAATTACCGGAGGCTAAGAGAGTCTGAAAATTAAAAAATGAAACAACGGTAAATAGTAATCCACCGAATATTTACTTTATTTGAAATCAAAACGTGAATTATTTTAACTAATTACGATTTCGGTCCACAATAAAGAACCCGTTTGTTAGCTCCAAGTTATTCATCGATTAGACTTTTTAAACAATATCAACAGAAAACTAAAATGTTACCTATATCATGGGGATGGTTAAGCAAAATGTACCAAGCCATTGTTATCACGAAAATATAAGGTTTGTTTGACAGAACAAACAAGAATAATTCACAGAAAGAAGAAACACTGTTTGGGGAGTTACAGGGTAGGCAATTGCGCTAGACAATAACAAAGTTTTGTTGGCTATGAGATTTCTAATCACTTCGTCTAAGATGAATTAATTGGGCTACTAGGCACAAGGATATAGAATAAAGAACCCCGAATGTGTTAAAGCATCTGAACAGATTGTCCTTTAACAAACAAGCTTTTTGGATTGTAAACCAACAGTCAAACCAGTACTGATAGCAAAACAACAGTACCCCCCCCCCCAGCTGTAATGCTTCA